TCTTTTTAGCTTTATTTCTCATTTTCAAGACAGCACCGTGTGTTGGCGACATTGTACATTTTTCACTGTACTCCTGTTCTTTTGTAACTTGAGTATACGTGACAATAAACCTAATTCTAATTCTGAACATCCCAATTTTGTTTACATTTAAGATAACTGCAAACGTTAAGTACTTGTGACTAGACAGAACTCAATACTGGCTTTCATGTAAAATTTGGCTTTATAAATTCAATTATCAGAAAATATTTATAATATGTTTTGCTTTTACAAAAGTCCATGGCTCTAACATATTACATTCAAAGCAGTCATCTACCTCCAGTAGAAAACAAAATTGATGTAACTGAAAGGTAACTCACCTATATTGATCGTAGCTTGCCTGCTGATGACTTCAGGAGATAGAGGTGTTAATTTGCTAACATCCTGTTGAAAAAAAATGCACTGGATCAGCTTTTGGCCAGAGCTGGTCATCGTTCTGCCTTTGTCCACAGTCAAGAAAAAGTTTTTCATCTTTGACACAAATATTATTGCTCCCTTTGCCCTTTGTTCCATGGTATCTTTTTATATAATCTCTCCAGCCCTCGAGTGCATCCCAGACTTTTCCTTCTGTTCTTCCTATCCTTTTCTTCCAACAGCATATAACTGACATTTCTATCTTTGTTCAAATGATTTCCACCACTTACATCATTTTCCTTTGATTTAAAACAATATCAATTCCACTCCTGCTTCACCAGTCAGAATTAGTAAAACACATTACAAATTAACCCCTCCCTTCAAGTAAAACAAATTCCAATTTGAGACTCCAACATTACAACCCACAGTTGCAGTATAACTGTTGCCAGGTTTGGTGATTCTGTACTAAATAATGAGTAATCCACAGATGGTGCTTTCCTGCTAAAACATCCTCTACAAAGGTGCTGCTTCTTTCCCCTAAATCTGTGAGAACTTTTTTTGGTAAGGCATCAGTGATTCCAACAAGCCACAACAGCAACCACACATTGATGGCCAATAGATTACAAATTCAAGTCATATTTTGCTTGTGAATATACTTATTAATATAAATTACAAAAGGCAAGAATCCGTAGTAGCCATGAAACCATCTTTGTAATGCCATATCAATTCGACAGGCTGCTGAGATGGCCACATTCTTCTGTTGCAAGAGTTATACACTCCCTACATCATTCAGGCTAAAACTTAAGTGTCTCCAATTATCTTAGGCCTGTATTCTGGAATTTCTTCTCTAAATCTTTCTGCCTCCCTCTCCTCATCATTGCCCATCTCTTTGGGCTAGCTTTTGCTCACATCCAGTAACTTATATGGACTCCCATCAATTTGTCTGATGAGACACCAATGAACCGCCTTGGAATGGATTTCTACTTTCAAGGCACAACAATAAAGCCTAAATTCTTTATTTGTCTTTATCCACCAGGTAGAGATACCTTACCACCACTTGTCTCATCCCCCAATCAGAACGGCAGACCCTGAATTTTAATCGAAAACTTTGAGGGAAATTTGTATATCACTTTGCCTTATATCAGTTTGGTTAACACTGCCTCCAAATAGACCTGAGCTTTATTGTGTTAGTGTTCATAAGCATAGCCTCACAAAACTAACAGCTTTAAGAATCTCACAACAGCATTCATAAATGTCTGTAAACAGATCCCAGCTCACTGTTAGTGGTGGAGGGTCACTTATCTGTCTTCCAACCAGTTATCTCCCAAGAAGAACAGAAATTCCTGGTCAACCTCAGGTCTGACAGCACGTGCAGAGAGAAAGCAGAGCCTTGGAGCCTGTCTGAAGAAGGGTCACTGGACCTGAAACATCAACTCCGCTTTCCCTCCATAGATGCTGCTAGACCTGCTGAGGTTCTCCAGCAATTTGTTTCTGTTTCAGATTTCCAGCATCTGCAGTTATTTGTTTAGTGAATTCTTCCAAAAATTGCTTGCTAAACACGGAATCGCAAATTCAGAGAACAGCACTCAATCCTGAGCATTTGCACCCATTTAGTCTGAATATTTATTTGGACTTTAATATCTGATCTACTTCTCCATTACTACAGATAACGGCAAAGCAATAAGGTAATCTGTATTTAGGATGGGAATCTCCAACTGTTATTCCATTGGCAGTGTGATCTGCAACTAAATGCCAACCTGCCCATTTTTAATCACCAGATTCCAGAATCTGTTTTATCAGGTTTTCATGTTCTCCCCTTCCAACCCTGATCATCACCACTCAATAAGAACAGTTGCTTATATCAGCTCAAAAGCAAAAGCCATTAACCTTAGTTTGAACATTGCCAGATATATCATTTTAGGCACTATGTTTACTTTGATAAATAGCCTATTTCCAGAAAAATCCTGAGATATTGTATAAAAGTGAAATGCTCATGATAAAACTGATAAATTTATTAGAAACCATATGTAATATAAAAGCATCACTTTATGCATAATAATGTCAGCAGAAAAAAAAAGGTTCTATTCCCTCCACAAAATAAAAACCAAAAGAACTGTGGATGCTGTAAAGCAGAAACAAAAACAGATGTTGCTGGAAAAGCTCAGCAGGTCTGGCAGCATCTGTGAAGAGAAATCAAAATTAACATTTCTGGTCTGGTGACCCTTCTTTAGAATGGTCCGAGGAAGGGTCATCGGACCCGAAACATTAACTCCGATTTCTCTTCACAGATACTGCCAGACCTGTTGAGCTTTTCCCGCAACTAGTTTATGTTTCTATTCCCTCCACCTTTGCTTTCCGAACCACCACAGCCACTCGGGTCTTTAGTCAGATCTTGGATCTGGAAGTAAAGAAGTTTACTCCAACAGCAAGACAGGGAGCCGTGTCTGTTCTTGAGCAATGATGACATTTGTTACAACATGCAGACATACTGGATAGTAATTCCTGATCCTGCCTACAAAATGCAGCACAATTCAATTCTCAGGAAAGCAGAAGCAGGTAAAAACCATGAACAGTAAAGGAAAACCATGAAAAACACAATGAGCAACATGGTAATGATGCTTCTATCAGCCCTTCATGCATGCAGTGGGCAAATCGTGATTTTCTTACATCCTTTGGGACTTGTATATTATTCGATAAGACTCATCTGAAATGATTATCATTTCAGAATTAACTATTGCCTGTTTACCTAATCACTATACAGTTCATTGTACTCATTTTGTACATTTTTTTCTTAGTACCCCTTTTCTTAAGTTATTTATCCGTAAAATCTTCCAGTTCTGCAAAACAAATATGCCCGAATGTCAACATGTTGTTTTTGTTTCAGCAAACTTGTTATTAGCCAATTTTGTCCAAAAATTGTTTTATGCTACCCTTACCCTACCCAAACCAAGTATGAGACAAACAATCACACTGGACATAAAATATAACAAGGCGCAGATGAAAACATGCAGTAGTTTTCTTAGATGACAATTGTTTTATTCAGTGAGTGAGGAGTTATGCACATTATTCCATAAAATTTATGGACAAAATTGTCGTCATCTCATTTTTATAAGTTCCACCAGACTTTATTGCCTTTTACTACTTAATACTGGAGATCACCGAAGTCTCGCCTTCAACCTCTGACACCTGTTTATTTTGTTATCCACTCATTCTGCTCCATCACTGGTGGACCATCCAGCTGTTACTTTCTGGAAACTATTCCCTGAATCCGAGTTTTCCAAAATAAGCTCTAATTGTCTGTGTTTTTAAGTACGATCCTAAATATTTGTTTATTCCTTTTTAACTCTGATACTTGACATCTGCTTTATTAATCTGGTCTATTAAGTGCTGTGTATGAAGTGCTAGAAACGCAAATTTATTTCACACTAACAGAATTATTGTTCCATTAGAGATCTTATGAAATCTTTAGAGATACCCTTACTAAATCTGAAATTAGTGTGGGCACGATATTTATTCGTGTAGAATTAATATTGCACTTAAAATACAGTTTGCCAGGTAACATGATGTTAAAAAGACAAGTTTTGAAAATTCACAAGCAAATGGAGCAGATGTTTTCTAAGCATATCCAGGGGAGTATCAAGGAGGTTTTCAAAACTAAAGAAATAAAATCCTGGTGCAACATCAGAATAACAGAGGGATAGAAGTGGGCCACTCAGACCCTCAAGTTTGTTCTGCTATTCTATTAGATCCTAAGTTTACATTCATTTTCCACAATAATTTAACAATTCCATTATACAAAAATCTAACTATTCACTCTATATCAACCAACCAATCTAGTTGACACAAGTGACTGTGAATTAACATGCCTTCACAGAGCTTAAAAGAAAAATCTGAATTATGAAGGTGATGCAGTATTTGGCAACTGCAGGTTCCATTAATACATCGCTCTCTTTTTACACTGTGAGAATAAACACTAACAGCATTTACTGACCATTCAAATATCATTAATTCATAGCATGTCAACTGCCTTGCAGGTTCAATATCTGATGTAGCAAAACTTGGACAAATGTGCAGAGAACCTTACAGCATAGAACACCAGTCAGCCTATCCAACCTGTACCAGCTCTTTGGTATAGCTGGTTCATCAGTACCACTCCACTGCTCTTTCTTCGATCCTTGCCAAGTTCCCATTTCAATGTTTTTAATCCAATTCCCTTTTTGAAAATTGCTGTTAAAGCTTCCACCACCCTACCAGGCAGTACATTTCAGCTCATAACTTGATGTTCAATGTCACTGTTTTCTAAAAAGAAACAATCAGTTCAAACTTGTATCCCATGGTTACCTAACTTTCTGCCTTCGGATACAATTCCACTGTTTCACTCTATCAAAACCATTCATGATTTAGAAAACCTCTTCTAAGATCTTCTGCTACCTTTGCTCAATGGACAGCACTGCTTCCCCAGTGTTGCCACACAAAATAAAAATCTGATCCTGGTGCCATTTTAGCTACCTCTTACCTACATTCTTTCCAACCCAATGAGATCTTTCAGAGTTTGACATTTATAACATAAATACTCCAGCTGAAGCAATCTTGTTGATTTGTTTTCTTAGTATCCATTCAAGCACAGATGATGCTGGACAGACAACAAATGATCCATTTCAAGACAACAAGGTGCAGAGTTGGATGAACACAGCAGGCCAAGCAGCATCACAGGAGCAGAAAGGCTGACATTTCGGGCCTAGACCTTTCATCTGATTCAAAATGATCCATTTCATTGTGTTGCCTTCATTTTGTGCATTTTTTGACTGATAGAGGTTTGGGATAACATTTTTGCTTTGTATGCTGTACCCCTATAAGAAAAACACGTAACTGTTTTCTCCAATTATCCTGCCAAACTTCCCTGCTCTATGGGAAGCACAAATAGGAAATTTGCAGAAAAAAATTGTTGCAGAGTTGTGGAATGATGAGGATAACTGCAGGATGATAGATATGTGGTTTGGTTAAGTAGACAGAAAAGCAACAAATGGAATTTATTCCAGAGAAGTGAGACGTTATGCATTTAAGGAAGGCAAGCATAGCAATGGAATACACAATAAATGGCAGAGCATTAAAAGGATAGAGGAAGTGGGAGACCAGGAGGTCTGTGCCCACAGACCTCTGGAGGTGGCAGAAAAGTGTTAAGAAAAGGTATATGGGATTCTGTCCTTCATTGGGTGAAGTCCTGAATACAAAAACAAGGATGAGATACTGGAACTATTTTGGAAACTGGTTATGCAACAGGTGGACTTTTTTCTACACTTCTTGTCACTACATTACATAAAACAGATAATTATTCTTGTGGGAATAGAAGATTTTACAAGAACATTGCCAGGCGTTGAAATTACAGCTGTGAGGAAAGACTTGATAGAGAAGGGTAGTTTTCCTCAAAACAGGGAAGGCTGAATAGTAAGTGATGTCTTACATGATGTTTACAAAATAATGTTGACAAAGCAGACTCGTTTCTCCAAGTGGAGAGATCAATAACCAGAGCACACAGATGAAGGAGAACACGAAAATAGACCTTTTCACCTGGAGGGCGCTGGTATTCGCTGTCCGGTCTAGTGGTTGAGGCAGCAACCCTCAACTAAAGGAGCCGATTATTCTGCAAACTGCAAGATTACAGATGAAACGGTGGAATGCGAGTAAAGGATGGGGAAGGGGGTGGGGAAGGGGGTGGGAGGTTGCAGTTTGTTCCAGCCAACGCCGACATGACGGGCTGAGTGGCATCTCTACGGTGTAACTTTTTCACGGTTAGACAACCCTCCCTTTTGCGAAAGAGAAAAAAAAAATTTCAAAAGGCTGGATTGAGGAAGAGTGTGTCACTCCCTGTGTGGTGGGACAGAGGTTGGCCAGAGATAGAGGCCATTTCTCGCCCCCACCCCGCAGAAATATTGAGAAAACTGGTTTCGGGTTCACACTGATAACGGGGGCGGGTTTTACGCAGTAACGGAAGTGCTTGGCGGGGGCCTTTCAGGCCGTGACTTGTACTGGCCAAGCCGAGCGGAGCGGAGAACGTCCGGCCAGTCCAGCTACAGTACGCCGTGGGGAGTCTGCTCTTCGTTGCTGCTGCCCTCCGGCCAATAATCACTGCGCTTCCCTTTCTCTCTCCTCTAGGCCCGCGTGTGTCTCCATGTGCCGGCCCGGGCCGGCTGAGTGAGCCCCGGTCCGTTCCCCTCTTATACACAACACCCCCGAGCCGTGCACTGACCAGGGCGTTGAGGTCCTGCTTCGCCAGGTGCGGCTGGCCCACGGTGACACCGGCATCATCTCCCGTCATCCTGCTCCCGGCCTCCCAACCGCCCGCCGCCAACCGCCGCTCCCAGAATGATGCAACCCCTCCAACGCCAACGACACCAGGCCGTGCCCAAGACAGCCTTCTGGCCGCGGCTCCCGCAGTCAGCGCCCCCTCTGGCACTGCAGCCTCTTCGCACCCAAACTGCAAAGGTTGCAAAACGAGAGGCTGAAATTGCAATTCAGTTTAGAAGGGGCAGTGGTTACAGTCTTTACTCCTGGTTCAAGGCCCGCCCGTTCCGGAGGCATGACCCTAACAATAATTAGAACGATGGAACAATTCTTCCATTGACAGGGAAAAAAAAACGGTTGGAGGACATGCTCCATCTATGTCAATGGAGGTGAGGTAGAAAGGGTCAACAGCACCAACTTCCCAGGAGTGACAATAACCAACAACCTGTCCTGGACTTCCCTCGTAGATGCAAGAAGGCACTACAATGCTTCTTCTTCCTCAGGCATCTTAGTAAATGCAGCATGTTCATAAGAACCCTCAGCAACTGTCTGAAAAGGTGCACCTTTTGTTTTGTCAAGTTAGTTTGACAACTTGTTCAACAACAAAAACAGAAAGTGCTGGAGAATCTCAGCAGGTCTGATAGTGTGTATAGAGAGAAAAAAACAGAATTAATGTTTTGAGTCCAGTGACCCTTTGGAATCCAAAATAAGACCTCAAAGTTTTAGGCTACGGTCTGGCAGATCTAAAACAGAAATGAGGAGGAATTGCTTCTCTCAAAAGGTCATGAATCTACAGAATTCAATACCCCAGAATACAGATGCACGATAGAAAGCATACTGTCCGGGTGCATGACAGCCTGATTTGGCAACTGCTGTGCCCAGGACAGTAAGGAACTACAGGAGGTTGTGTGCACAGCCCAAACCATCACGGAAGCCAATCTCCCATCAATGGACAACAAGGTGCAGGGCTGGATGAACACAGCAGGCCAAGCAGCATCATAGGAGCAGAGAGGCTGCGATAGGGTTAGGGTTAGGGTTAGGATTTTAACTCCGATCCATGGACTCCATTTACACTTCCCGTTGCTGCAGAAAGGCTGCCAACATCAGTAAAGACCTCTCCCATTCTGGTAATGCTGTCCTACAACCTCTTCTATTAGGCAGAAGATACAGATACATAAACACATGCACCAACAGGTTCAAGAACAGCTTCTTCCCTGCCATTATTCGATCAAAGAATGGGCTCTCTAACTTCAAATAATGTTGATCTTGTTAATGTTGATCTTGCTTTGTGCACCTCCTGTGTACCGTAATCTGAATACCTCACTGTCTAAGTGCTTCTTCTGCTCACAATACAAAGCTCTTCACTTGGGTACATGGGACTACAATAAATCAAATCAAATTAAATCAAATTAGGGAGCAACACGTGTGCAAACCTGGGGAATACCCTAAAAGCTGTTCAATTATTAAAGGTTTCTGAAGAAGGGTCTAGGCCCGAAACGTCAGCCTTCCTGCTCCTCTGATGCTGCTTGGCCAATTATAACATAGCTTTGTTCTCCATAGTTGTGAAAATCAGCCAGATACTTGATGTGAACTGAGAAAGCAAACAATATTTTTTCCAGCCAAACCACTCCAATGCATTGAACCGAACTAAGCTTTTGTTGAACTAAGGAGCCAAGGACTCCAGAAAGTCAGCTTGGGAGTTTGATGTGTCAGCTGAAATAGAATAGGATATCCTTTATTGTCATGTGCACTCAAGTACAGAAGTACAGCGAAAAGTTTACAGTGTCGTCATCTTAGGTACAAAATACCTAGGTATAGAACTTAGATATAAAATAGAGAAATAAAGGTAGAAAAAAAAACGTTACATTACTATTCATAGTATAAGTTCGAAATAATGAGAAATAACTTAAGAAGATAAACATTACAGTCTTTCTGTAAAGGGCCTGCAGTAGATCAGCACCGTGGGCTTCCACACGTGGTCTGACCAGGCTCGCAAGCCGCTGACCGCCTGCACTGGTCCCCAGTCAAACAATAATCTTGCTCTGCTCAAGCCCCAGCCTACTGGCTGTCCCCACTCTGCTTGGGCCTCCAGCCTCCTGTTTGTCCCTGCATTGCTTGGTCCTCCAGTCCACTGGCCAACCCTGCTCCACGTCAGCCTCCAGCCTACTGTCCATACCCACTCCATTCAGGCCTCCAGCCCAGTCCGTTACATGCAAAACACCAAAAAAGAGGAAAAAGAAGAGAAGAAAATGAGAAATAAACAGAAGGAGTGGAGGCACTCCGTTTGGAGCATCTTAGTCTGCAACCATCTTAACTAGTCATGGTCAAATGACTCCATATTGGCGGAAGTTATAAAACAGGATGTCATGCATGCTAAGGAGTGACCACAGCTCATGGTAAACAGACCTACGTGATCCCACAACCAGCCAATCATATCTAGGCTCTGTTATAAGAACATAAATGCCTAGGAGCAGGAGAAGGCAATTTAGACCCTTAAACCTACTCCACTATTTAAAATGATCATAGCTGATCTTATTTCAGCCTCAACTCCACAAGTGCTGCCTGACAGCACTATTATTGAGACCAAATTGATGGGAAGGTAATTGGCCACTTTGGAGTTGTCCTGCTTTTTGTTTACAGAGCATACTTGGGCAAAATTTTTCACATATTGTGGCAATGCCAGTGTTGTAGCTGAACTAGAACAGCTTGATTTGAGGCATGACAAATTCTGGATCACAGGTCATCAGTACTGTTGCTGGAATATTATCAAGGCTCATTGAGTAGAATATCCTTCATTGTCATGTGTACTCAAGTACAGAAGTACAGGAGTACAGTGAAAGGTTTATAATGTTACCCCATATGGCACCATTTTAGGTACAAATTACCTGGGCACAGATCTTAGATACAAAATATAGAAAAAAAAGGGGAAAAAGGGTTATATTACCTACAGTTGTTCATAATATAAGTTAGAAACATTAGAATAATTTTAAAAAGATAAGTATTACAGTATTACAGTGCAGGGGCTTCCACAAGTGGTCTGCCTGGACTCCCAAGCCGCTGACACTGGTCCCCAGTATTACAACCATCCCACTCGAGTGTCCAGTCTGCTGATTATCCTTGTATTGCTTGGGCCCCTACCCCCCTGGCTCTCCACTCTCCGTGTGAGCCTCCAGCCTGCTGGCCGTCCCTGCTCTGCCCGGGGGCCTACTGTCTGTACCCTCTGTGCTTGGGCCTCCAGCCGGCTCTGCTCCATGCCTCCAGCCCATTCTACCTCAGGAGAGAACACCACAAGGGGAAGAAGGTATCAAAAGAGAAGAAAATGGGAAATAAATAGAAGGAGCAGAGGAGCTCCGCTTTGAGTGTCCTACTCTGCCACCATCTTTACTGTCTTTGCATTATCCAGTGGGTGCAACCATTTCTTGCTATCACATGAAAGGAAATAAATTAGATGAAGATTTGAAGCTGAAGTTGATTAGCTCCACAAAGCATCTGTGACGTTGAAAGTGTCCAGAGGAGGCTGAAGTGGATCATTAACTCAACACTTCTGGCTGAAGATGATGCAAATGCTTTAACTTTATCTTTTGCATTCATGTTCTGGCCTCTCTTATGATTCACCATAGAAATATTTGTAGAATCCCATCCTCCAGCATTGTTTAGATGTTCACCACCATTCATGACTAGATGTGGCAGGAACTGCAGAGTTTAAATCTAATCCATTAATTGTGGAATCATTTAATCATGTTAGTCACTTGCTGCTTATGCTGTTTAGCATTCAGTAGGCCTGTGTTTTAATTTCACCAGATAGACAGATCATTTTTAGGTTTACCTGATGTTTCTCCTGACATTCCTCCTGCACTTGTCATTGAACCGGAGTTGATCCCCTGACTTGATGATAATGGGAGCGCGGGCCATGAGATTGTAGATTGCACTGGTGTATAATTCTGCTGCTGTTGATGGCCCACAGCACCTCATTGATACTCAAACTTGAGCTGCTAAATCTGTTTGAAATGTATCCCATTTAGAATGGTGATAGCACCACTCAGAATGATGAA